AATTTGAAATATTCCAAACATTTCTCCTTGTTTTTCCTTTTGATTTTTTTGCAATAATTCCGGAATTATACCGGAAATCCGAATTACATTTTATGTAACTCCGATAGTTCCGGATTTCATTTTTTGATAAAAATTGAATTCCCTAATTCCAAAACAATTGTAACAAGAATTAAGAACAAGTAAAAATGCGTAGACTTCTTAAAACAATATTATAAATCAGGAACAAAAATTATAATAAGCAATAAAATTAAGGATTAAATTTAAGAGTATAAAAAAAAATAAACATTAAAATACCTTAGGCTAAAAAAATATTTCTATAGTGTATAGTGTTATGAATTTTAATTGATTTATATTTTAAAATTATTCTCATATTATGTACTTGTATAAATATTTAATGATCATATTAACAACCTAAGAACATTAAAATACATTATCCTTTACAATAACTTAAGAAATATTTATGATTTTGAAATTTTATAATTAAAAAAAGTTTAAGGTATGTTTTTATAACAAAATATATTTAAATTATGTATATATATATAATATATATAATATAAATATCAAAATATTAATGTTAACAAGGATCAATTGAAATCAAGTTAATAATAATTGAGTTTTAAAGCATTTGGGGTTTAAATTTAAGAAACATAAAAAAAATTGCAAAAAAAATTGCATATAATTTTAATTTAAATCAATTAACTTGTACCATCTATACTTTCATAACCAGTGCCATCTATACTTTTCAAAAATAATTTCATTTAATTTTGGTCATGACTACGTGGCATGACTAACCGGCTCAAAGAGTTCAATCTTAAACCTTATTTTACTCATAATTTATACATTTCGAACATATTGCAGCTAGAATACCATTAATTACACATTCAATAAATAGTTTTTTGAAAACCTAACAAAATATCCTTAGAGCATCGAATCTCAAGATGTTGGTGGCAAATTTAATCAATCGATTTAATATTTTTGAACGGTAGCCGCAAACAAAACTGCTCATTGTTATGAAAAATATGGGTATTATTAAATTTTTACGCGATTTTACAGCCATTTTTCAAGTGGGCTTATAGAAAACACTTGTTATTGTAATTTCTAATAATTACTCGTAAGAGATCAAAAATAGTTAATTGTAAAAACTGTAAATCTTATAATGAAGACAGACCTGTGCCTTTAGCCTCTCCAAATAAAATTCGTGGTCACATTTTGGATACATTTGCTTTTAAGGACAATATTACACTCATAACGATATTAGATAGGCCATATACATCTACTTTCTTCAAAAGTGTCTTTGCAAATTTATCCTCGTACTCATATACATGATTATTAAGTTCAATCAAATAATACTATTATAGAATTTACAGAAATATTTAAAATTTTGTGAATGAATTCGTGAATCAAAATTATTTAATCATAATTTCGAAATAATTTTTATAATATTGAAAATTGCTTTGATAATTTCAAATGCTCTTTAAAAATTCTAGTATTAAACAAAAATCTATACAAAAAAATATTATTTTTTTTTTAAAAGCGAATAAAAATAATTAAATTCAGGTACATTTAAAAATGCTGACCTATATTTAGTGGCATTTACAAAACCACAATTAGAACTCTTTAAAAAAATTTTTAATTTTAACATTATTTTTACATAAAAAGTTCAAAATAAAAATATTGTTGTTTAAACCAACGAGCAAGCACATTCAAATTAAGTGCACCTATTTAACTAACTATTTTAACCATATTTTTAAATGAAGTCACAACATTGAGGTAATTTTAATTAATTTAAAATTGACCGAATCAGTTATTTTCATATATATACATAGATACATATGTACATACATGTATGGCCAGTGCCTGTTTTTTTTAATAGAATAAATGATGAAAAATTGGGTAAATGTTTTTCTAATAAGGGTGAGAAAAAAAATTATGTTCACATTCATAGGTACACAGGAACTAATATTATTTGATATTAAATTTTAACTTTCGACAAAGTTTCGACAAATGCATTTTCATTGTTATCCGATAATAAAGCTTAATCTCTAATTCGCGAATTAAATTTAAGCATACTGTTTAAGCTACTTCTTAATCATGCAACAATATCCAATATAATTAAAATTGAAAATTTTAACATCTGGTATCTCACCATCGTTTGACATGCATCAAGTAAAGAAATTATTCTTATTCAATACTTCAAGGTTTATTTAATAATTTCTGGTAGCACTAAGAGTTTTAAAGTAGCACATTTCTGTTATATCAATGAAAACCTTTTAAAAAGGAATCTAATACCCAGACACCAGATAAAATCATTATTATCTATGCGATATGATAATAATCTTTAAGAATTAGAACAAAAATCTAAAGAAGCGTTGACATAATAATCAAATCGACGATTAATTAAGTGATATAAGGAAAATAATCATATTTTTTTATGAGAAGTCGTTTATGCTGCAATAAAAATTTGGAAATTCATACAGTTCGGTAAAAGTAAAGGACGGCAAAATGAAATGTCGCTAATTTTATCGTTAAGGTACAACTTGGACTTTTGTACGATAAAAGAAGCAAATCACTTCGAGTTTGCTAAATTTAAAAATTATTTATGCTTTTGAAATAATCAAATTTCAGAAATTTAATTTCTAGAACTTTTCCAATAAAAGGGAGATAAGGAAAAATTTTGTAAAAATTAAATTTTTGGAAAAAAATTATAAATATATCTACACGTCCAGTACCAGCATTTAAAAAAAGGTTTTTACATAATATTTATCGAAAATTTCAATTATCCTTTAGAGAAATATTCAATAGAACCGATCATAATCATATTTGATAAACGATATATTAAAAATATTTCAAAGATACTTGTACCAAATTTATAAGCCTATTCAACTTAATTTGTTCTTCAACATTATGGATATAAAAAAAATTGAAGGGTATACAAACACATAAGAGCTTTTTTGTAAAATGCTTGCGTTATTTTAAAATAATAAAAAAATTTCTCACTCTTGGCAGATTGCATGAATATTTAGGGTGAATTAGCGTAACAAAATCAAATGAACGTATTTTAAATTTTTATACATGTTACATATATACGAGTAAGTATCTAATAAAAAATTATTGGATATTTTTTTAAAAATATTGAACACTAACATATAGAAAAAGCAACTCACTGTATACAAATTGATACGAAATTCAATTAAACCAATACTATAGCATATTGTACACCATGCATTCTTATACAATACACACCAACCAACCTAAAATGTAATAAATAAGCGCAATACAATAAACCAACATGAATGTAATAAATAAGCGTAATACACACAGGTATAATATGGCGGCTATATAGTATAAATATAAAAATACTTTTAAAGACTGCACATTATTTATACTTAGATAATGAAAATTGAAAAATTCGATTCGATAAATGAAAATTCCCATAAATTTTAATACTTTTTTTTTGAGGTTTTACAATTTTATTCAATAAATTCAAATTAGGTATTATTGGTCTGAAAAAAAATTTCACTGTTCACAATTTCATACAAACCAGAGTAACATGATTAATTTTTTTTTTTTAAATTATCATTGTTACATAATTAATAATTAGAATTTCATATTTTGATTTTGTATGTAGTCAGCGAATATAAAGCCAGCCTATAAAAGTTATTAGGACAAATTTAAATAAAAGAATTCTGATTGATTTAATGTTTTGGAAAATGAATGCAATTTTTCGAATGCAATTCAAACCAAAAAAGAGGAATTTTTTAATTTATATTGTGCGATAACTCAGAAAAAACCTAGGAATGGAAAGAGCATATAAAGAAGAAACACATAGAATTAGAAAATAAATATAGAGAAAATTATTGGCTCCTAGGTCGTAAGTCCAATTTGGCAATTGATAATAAAATAATAGCCAAATCATTAAACCAATATGGCGATATGGCATTCAACTGTGGGGTTGTGCCAAGAAGACTCACATTAATAAAATTCAAACCTTCCAGAATAAAGTTCTGCGGGCCATGGTATATACGTAACAGTGATATCCACAGGGACTTAGGAATTCAATTGGTTGTGGATGAAATTAGGAGTGCTACAAAGCAAAGGGCTCGTCTAGAACAGCATGTAAATATGGAAGCAGACAATGGCGTTATGACAGAAAGACTTAAACGAACAAGACCATTCGATTTAACACGGAATACCGATTTCCTTATGAAAGGTATTTAATTGCTGCACGGAAAAACCAAGTTAGCGCGAAGGTAATAGTTAGTCTGCAGGACCAGTTTTATCCGTTCAGAATTTAGGTGATTTTTTAGGGTAGGAGTCACGCTCCCCCACTGTCGGAGGAAAAAGCCAGATAGAGCCGTCCTTCTTCGTCTTTCGAGATTTTTTCCCCTAGTAAAAAAAAAAAAAATTGTGCGATATTTTAAACTTTATTTTCACAGGTCAGCGTTATTATACAAAATTAAGAGTAGAATATATGGAGACATGAGAAAATCTTAAAATCTGATGCTAACTATAAAAGTCATATTTCGGATTTTTGAAAGAAAACCTCATTATTTCGGAACCAATATGTTTTAAAACAACAAAGACTTCAAGGCTAATTAACTCGACTTAGCAAATGTGGTTTAAAATATAATCAATCCGTCGCTTCGGAACTAAGTTAGTTGTATTAATTAATTGTTGATTAAATATAACAGAAAATGTTGATCCTTATTAATGGTATTCGCACTCATCATCCTCTTAAAATGTAATACCTTATAATGGTAGAAGGAGGAACTTTAATATGAAACTATTGGCTATATAACAGAATATAATAGCCGCTTTTCGAAACCTGGTAATTTTCCGAAACAGACTGAAAAATTGTTGCTCGACCCCCATGTTCTGCTTTGAAATCGATTGTCAAGTTTTATATTCAATTTAATTCTCATTCGTTTAAAATTATTCAAAAATTCAATTGATTATTATAAGACTATGATTTTTAATGATAAATCTATTATGGTACTTACCAATGATTGTAATTCATCCAATTTATCTGCATGTGCTGATCTTAATTTAAAAACTTTTTCTATAACAATATCCATTACTTGTAAAAATTCATCTTGACTATAATAAATTAACGCTGTTGCACCAGCCTGTACTACAATCATAATTACTAAAAATACTGCCCACTTCATTATATAAAAAAGAAAAATGGAATTTTTTTTTTTCATTTAAAATTCATAAAGTAAATCAATTCTTAAAATGAAATTAATCCATTATATATAAAAGGTATTTAAAATTTATTACCGTAACACACATACAAAATGAATCCTTAAAATTTGCAATACATCCAAAAATTCCAACTGCAAGAATTACTGAACCTAATGATATCAATTCAACTGATAAATTTCTTGAAGTTTCCGATTCTTCCACTATATAGGTCATATTTGTATCATCAATCATTTTTACATTATATCCAATTAATAATAGACCAGCACCCTAAACATTTTAATTTTCGTGGTATTAAAGGAATAAATTATACAAATAAAAAGAGATTTTATAAATAAATTTTTTAATTATTAAAAAAGAAATATTGATGTTAAAATAAAATATAAGTTGTTTTACAAAATTCAAAAACTACAAATTCAAAGGGATTGAAAATGTTAAATGTCATTAATAATATTACTTAGGTTTCAAAGAGACTGCTGTAAAATTTAAATATCAAATAAATTTGAAAATTATCAAATTAGAATAACAAAAAAAAACTTCTCAAAAAAATCACTCAAACAAATTTTTTACAAATTTCATACACTTACCTGTTCATTAAAAATTTCCCCTTAATATGTTACTCCTACGTTCATAAATCTTCTCAAATTTCCAATTCCAAGTAGTGTTAAATTTCAAGAATTTATTTATGCGTTATAAAAACTTTATAATACAGTTAGAGTTCTACAAAAACACCACATAAAAATGAACCAAACAGCAAATTTACTTAAAAAAAACCAAAAAGAACACCACTACAAAACTATCAAATCAACGATTCATTTTAGAAAACGTATAAGTATACATAACATACATATGTATGTATATTTTTTTTTTAAAATGTAATCGCTATGTCATATACAAGTATAATTTTGTGGAAGGGATTTAAGGAAATATACTTACTATGATTATGTTGTTCGACGCGACTATTTTCATTTTTTCACACACTGTACATGCAAAACGCTTGGGCTTTAATATTTAAGTCGCAAAATAAATATTTTTTACTCAGAAAGGTTCAAGGCGTTTACATTTAGACAATAGCATAATTTTACAAAGCTTTACAATTTTTGATATCAGAAAACTTCAATTTAAATTTGACGTAACATCTTCTATGTACGAAAAGAGTGGAGAGATAGTGGTTTCTATTCAGAGAGTATTTCCTTTTGCGACACATTTTCCATGTTAATACATATTTGAATTAATTGTTTCTTTTATATAATCTAAGTATTTTCAAATAAATCTAAAAAGTGGTAAAAAAATATACTGTTTCTTGGGCTCAACTTGTATTCTACTAGAGGAGATATCATACCAGCAATATCAAAAGTAAAAGGGTTACAATTTTTCTTATATATACCACCCAAAACAAAATTCATAAGATGAGGATAAATCCATATACATATACATAAAATTTGTCCTTCCAGCAGTTTGTACACAAAATTTACCACTTTTTTCCACAAAAAACGATATCATCATTAAATTGTACTAAACAAGGCCTCCCAATAATGTTTTTCAGAAATACAAAATTTCTCTGGCGAAAAATAAATTTATATCCGAAATCCCGTAATAGTGCACCATACATTATCTCGATAATACATGGAATACTAAATACATGGAAAAATTCATAATGTTCTATAAAAAGTAACGCATTTAATAACATGCTATTTAGTGGTTTATTTGAGGCCACCTAAATAATTATTTGCCAAATCAGGTTCATACATCAAGTAAATTGAAATCAAATATTAAATTATTAATTAAATATTATTCAATATGCAAATTAAATTAAATCCAGGCATTTATAAAAGGCATACATGTACACAAAGCATAACACAATCTTCAGCAAATATTTTTTATTTTTCTATATTTCATATTCAAAATTTTATTTTTCTATATTTCAAAATTCAAAATCTTCATTTTAAATAGCTAAATTTTGTCTTTTATTAATAAAATTTTAAAACCACTGTAAAGTTGATGAAATTTAGTTTAATATTTTTATTATTTCGTATAGTTATTTCCGCCTTAAATAAATCTGTTATTTATAGTTAATTTAATTTTTAGCAAAATAGATTTAATACAGCTCTTTAACTAAATTGATTTTGGAAGAAAAAAGCAGCAGAATACTATATAGGGAATATTAAACTACACATTTGAATAAAAACGTTTGTGCATTAATAAAAATAATAAAAAGTGACGTCGTTAAATTGAAATCAAATATTATGTATGTATATAAAAAGGACTAAATATATATATATAATGTCATCATTAAATTAATATTAACAATATACTAAAATAAGATTAGTTTTATTTTTTAAATCCAGAAACGAGAAAAAAATCCATTATAAAAAATTAAGCAATCAAAACAAAATTTAAAATTTTTATTGCGATTTTTTTTTAATTCACATAAAATTTGATTATTATAGTTTAGAGATTCTTATACCAAAGGGAAATTCGAAACATAAACATTATAAAATTTTGCAGAAAAATATTTTTATATACAACTATTATATCAAGTATTCCACCAATGTGTGCCAATCGCATATACATATATTTTGGTGGTTTTAAAGGAAAAATATTTGAAAAATCTATTCGAATCTATGTATTCGAACTATATAATTTAATTAAGGCATGCAACATTTAAAATTAAAATTAAGAATGAACACGTAACTATTCCTCTCAACTATTCTTAAGACAGGTTAGCATAGCCCAGAGTGTTCTAGCTGGATCTAAAATATACGTTTAGAGTGTTATATTTCCTTAAATACAAGTTGCTTTAAAAAAAGTTGGGAAAAGCAAACGAAAAATAAAATTCGAATTTCGCTTCAGTTAGTTCGAATTTTGTTTTTCAAGTTAAACCAATTATACTATTATCTATCGACGCTTGGTAAATTCAAACAGTTGTTACTGTGCGAATAAGATCTCAGCAGCAACTTGAAGTAGAAAGGAGATCACCGCATTAATATTGTTCTTTAGAAACATTTTAAATTTTAATGTTATTATTCTTTAAAAAATTATAATGCTTCTGTATGTGATACAAAATATCTTTCAAATTACTGAAAAAATAGTCTGATGTGGTCAGCACATAACCGACCGCAAGGTGTATTATTTACACGTGAAAAGTTTTAGGTAACATACATAGAAAAATTTGAATTTACAAATTAAATTAATACAGTTTACTTTATGCTACTAGCTAGCAAAGTGAACTCAATATTAAATTAAAAGAAATATTTTCATTTAGTTCGGTTTTCGTACACTAATATTTCAAATTTGCGAATTATTTCCTTTATATGCGCAAAAATGTAGATTTGGCCGATAGTATGCAGACACCTGATTTCATTAAAAAATTAGGTAATTTTTCGTATTGTCAAATGAATCTTACATTTCTAGTTAATCTGTTTAATACTTTCTGAAAAATGATCAAAAATGCAAAACCGGCCCGTAAAATGGTCTAATGCTCTAGGCCTGATATATTCCAAAAGCTGATCAATCCATACTATAGCCAAAAAAAAAATTGAATATAAAATTTCATCAAAATCGATTCAGCCGAGCTTGAGATACACGCATGTACACGCAGTCTGACAGACTGATATACGACTTGCTAAAAACAATAAACTTACACATCCCCGCCATGTAGAAATGCGTTTTCACCAATATTAAAACCTCCCTTATTACGAGGGTCAATATTTATATTTCGGGTCTAGCAATAAAAAACAAACATTTATCATTGGAAATGGTTTTATTGTTTTTCAAAATATTCCCCATGAAGATCAATACACTTTTGCATGCGCTGAAACCAATTTTCGTAGCACTTTTTCCACTCCGATTGAGACACCTCCAAAACATGGTTTTTGAACGCATCGACTGCTTCTTCAGGTGTTGAAAATCGTTGTCCACGCATTTTTTTTTTTGATGTGAGGGAATAAGAAGAAGTCATTGGGTGCTAAATCAGGACTGTACGGCGGATGACCCATCAATTCGACATTTTTAGTGCTCAAATAGTCCATTGTTTCAGCTGATTTGTGAGAGCTTGCATTGTCATGATGAAGAATGATTCGCCGGCGCTTGTTTGTTTTCCTTATTTCTTCGAAAACTTTCGGCAAACAGATGGTGGTGTCACTGTAAACAAAACAATTCGCGCTCGAATGACAAAACGTTCTGAGTGAAGTTGTCCTAAAAAATGTCAAACTTTCCAGTGGAAGTGTCAGATTGCACCTGGCAGCACTAGTGTTGCCAGGACCCGAAATATAAATAGTGACCCTCGTATATGCAATGCGGCCGGTAAAAAATTTTTCATATTTTTACCGGTATAACAAATTTTATTTCCGTCCATGTAAAGGATTATGTAACTCATCGAAAAACAGCGACAATAAAGATAAACAGTGGCGTTAGCATCCGTTACCAATCGACTCCAGAACAATTTTTATCGCTCTTGCTACGGATATAATTTATAATCTGAAATCTTGGATAATTTCAAATTTTTAAAAATGGATCAGATTACCAGGGAGCTCAACAAAATCATGCTAAAATAAGTTTCAAATTCATACTCATATATGTTTGCACAAAGATAATAAATTAAAATAAACAATTAAACAATAATTGAAGTTTCTAACTTATTGCAAAACAATAAAGTTGTTTTCAATTTGTTTGAAAACAATTCGATTTTAATTTCACCAAAAAAAAATCATTCTTATATAATATTTAAGTAATTGAATTCACTGATTCACTTAAATTTAAATAAAATCTGATTATAAAAATTTCGAAGTTCATTGTCAAAAAAAAAATTGGAAATTTTCGACCATATTTAAAATAGATTTTGTAGACAATTAAACACAAAAGTTTTTCTTCTTTTTTTTGTTAAATATACAATTTCGAATTATTTATTTTCTCTTTCTGTTATATAGTTTATTCTTACAATTATATATATAATATATATGAATATACAAAAACAAAATGTATATATATAATATAACATTATTGTACATAATAATATATATAAGTACACATATTGTATGTAGCTATTTATGTATATGTATGTTATATACAAAGAAATAAATTTGGTTTTGTTCCTTGTTTTTTTTAGGTTCTCTTTTTTTTGCGAAAGAATACAATATAAATTTTATATTATTTTAATTAAATTATATTTTTAAATTTTTTTTTGTTTTTTGTTTAATAAAACTTTCCTTTTTAAAAAACAACACTATTTTTTTTTTGTAACAATTTAATTTTTTTTTTATTTTA